TATCAGGTTTCATTTCAATGTCTCTTGCCCATTTCGCAACACAAAAGCCTTGCAATGGTGGTATCATCATACATCATCATGATAATAGAATGTATATGATACCATTCGAGGATTCCATCTGCTCTCCAGGCTTCCATCTGTGACAAACATGTTAGTACATTAACGACATAACTGATGCTTCTCTCCGGGAAAAATATCCGCCATAAAACTTTAAAACGTCGGAGGTGATACCGGAGCCGGTGTTAACGACCTGACGTGGCACCAGGACGGGAAGACTGATGGAGTCTTGGGCCGGTTGATAACAACGGGAACCGCCGAGTCTCTGACAGACTCATCTCAGTAATGGCGCATCATAAACGCTTTCATCACTTGCTCCTGAATCATGGCTTTTATTCTGGGAAAAGATAGAAGTTTCCTGCTGAGAGGAATCCCGGTGGGGTCTCTGCGTGAATCATGGCACAGCGGTAATCGCACGGAGGTCGGCCGCACGGCAGCAGCTTGCGTGTGGGAGTAATTCTGTAATGGTGATAGCGCTCCATATGAAAGGCAAGTGTACAACTGATCGATGGTGAGCATTCTAATGCGTTTCTTTGAGAGATGCTGGCAAGACAAAATTCACAGAGAACCTGGCCAAGAAGTTTATTTATTTCTTTATATAGATATAAATCATCATATTCGCACTGAAGTTGGTCATGTAAGTGAACCTGAAAAAATCCGTATCATAACCGACTCCGTACACAAGTAATTCAGGACCATAAAATGATAGATTGATTTCACTGATCATTTTAAAGTAATGTCACAGTGGTAAGGCCCAGGACAAAGAGGATCGGACCCATGAGTTTTTTTTTTGGAAATCTATGCAAATAATCAATGTAAGATGCTTGTCTTGGTGTTTGTTGTAACCTATGAAAGTGGCTTCTATGACAGCCCCGCCTGGTGTGTTTGATGCCCGATGTCAGACCGTATTAGGTGTGAGTATTTCCAGGGTCAGACCGCGTCAGGGTGAGTGTTTCCGGGGTCAGACCCTGTCATGGTCCGACCAGCGCACACTCCCTGGCGCTCCCACACGAGTAACGGTCTATGGAAAGGTGATTTTCTTGACTCGATAGATGATTTTCGATAATGACGGTCTCATGATGATATATCTGTACACTAATGGTAGCCGAAAATGAAGTAAACAGCCATTATTGTACCCGTGATTTATCGAAAGAAACCGATATCATCAATTATTTCCACAGTCTGAGACCACTGTAAAGAAGGCAACTGCTATATGATTTATTACACCCCAATTACGTTTCCAATATTTAAGAACGCAAGATCGAAAAGTGCACTTTTTATGAAGATACTGAAGTAGAGGTTTGGTATTCCATACGCTGGCAGGTATTTTGCATTGTGACAAAGCTTACATTAGCCGTTACAATATCGATTGAAAGCATGACAGAAGAAAGAGCCGTGCGATATTACATCTAAAATCGATTATTAATTACGGTGAAAGAAACGCTGGGACCATGCAGGAGTAGGTGTCGATAATTTTTCGACGCAAACGGAATAATCATATCCAGTGCAAATTTGAGAGTATCTTGTGAAATAAATAAACAATACGATATTCAGGTATTTAACAGGAGTTTGCAGTTCACCAACTGAGACCATTACATGCACTCCAATGTTACGTCGTATACACAACACGAAAAGTTGAATTTACCGATGACAGTAAATGAATTCTTTTCGTGAAGTGATAAAAATAAGATTCCGTCTATCACTCGACTCATCTGCACGACTTAAAACCCCTGTCCCCTCCTTGTACCGTCTACCCAGAAACTCAAAACGGGTGGAGAAACAGTTCTTGGATTGATGGAGAGACTAAAGTTTACGGGGCATGAAAAGATGAAGTGGTAAAACCTGAATGGCCAAACCTACACCTTCCAGGCAAGTACTTGACTTCATGCATCCTAAAACAATGTTGAATCACCATCCCGAAATGGCTGCTGTGCACAGAAGCATCCAACGTGACGCGAATCCACCATCAACAAGTGTTAACCTTGCCCAATTTCAGCCAGTGCTTTTGTCAATGACAGGACAGAGACGTTAACGGCTGCGAGTTTGAACAGGCGAGGGTAAAAAGCAATCCGACCACTTGAAGCCATGTTCAATCAAAACGGCGCTGTTCAATTGCCTCTGAAGTTCCTTCGACGAGATGGGCCCAACGTACCGGAACTGACGGATCACGAAACGCAATGTGCGGAGATCTCTACGTTTCCAAGACGCCACTACTGCCTTTTACCTCATTGTTGAAAGTAGACAT